GGCTGGGTGTTTCTTCCAGGCTATCTGTTCATGTGTGTTTATCCAAGGGTGTTTTTTTCAGGGTTGCTTTTTCGGTGAACCTTGTGCAGGGCTGTTTGTTCGTTGTTGTTAGCGGTTGTTGTTTAATGCTTCTCGGCACGCAAACATCACGAGCGATTGCTACATCAGATGGAAATGGCGGTCTGGTTGGACTTCACATTGGCAGGGCTGCTTCTGTCTTGAAAACGAGGCCTCTCAAAGACTGAACACGTGCGAGCCGGAACATGTTCCTGAAGACCCAAAGCTTCAAACCTGAAGCTTACTTGATCCTCTGAAACTCATACTTGTATAGATGTTGGCTGCAGGTTAATGGTGGTTGGAAGTTGGCTGCCGGCTTTTGTTGGGAGGTAAGTTGGTGGTTGCTGGATGGCGCTGCCAGACGGGGGACAACGATGGAACAAGCATCTGTTGTAGAACAGCCACACCATCGACCAGAAGCCAACAACCAGTACACATTAGCCCACAACCAACGACGAATAACCATGAACCAGCACACAACAAGCAACGGCCATGGACCCACCCACAACCGATAATCAACAACCAATAGAATATACTTACCACATGAAGCGTGAACAAGACCAGGTAGCAACCGAGAAATGTTGTAGCCTTAACCAATCATCCTGGACCTTTACGCTTCATCCTTCCCTGTGAACTTCAAAGTCTGCAAGCGGCAACCCCGCAAACCCCAAACGCGGGCCTCAATCTTCGAACCCTTGAACCCAAGCCCAAACCCTAGACCACAGAGTCCCAACACCAGACCTTAACTCATGAACCCAATGCCCGAGCTCTCTACACTCTACATTTGAAGCGAATTGTTGTCGCCCGTTCCAGAGCCAGATAAACGTGCCATGAGCTGCAGACTGCAAGCCTCAAGGCCCAAAACCTTGTTGCATATTGTCTGATTGGCGCCTAGGCCCGGAGGAAATTCCATCCCGTGCGCGCGACGAGGACCTGTGCCACCTTTTCATGTTGGCTTCTGAGTTTGGAGCTTGGGGCGTACGGCGTTTCGTTTGCATGGGCGTACGGGCATTCAGCAGTTGGCGTTCCAGGGTTCAGGGGATTCGGGCGCAGCCTTGGGTTCAGGGCGTCCCGAGTTCAGGTCTCGAGTTGGCCGACGGTGCCATAAATGGGAGTTTGGGGGTACAGGGCTACGGAGTTTCAGATTTGAGTGGTGGGGAGCGGGGTTTCGGGGCTTTTAGAATTCCGCAGCTTGAGTTCCTCCGAGAGGGAGACTGAGACGCATTTACGAGATAGGGGGTTCAACGGACCGTGCGTCTGAAACCGTCATGATGAAAGCAACTGGGTTCCGAGGGTCGTCATTCGAGTCGACTCCATATATCGGACGCACGTTGCTGTTTTTTGAGGGTGATATCAGTGCGGATCGTATCTGGAAGTTCAGAGGCCGTCCGATTTCGTAGAGCTCCACAAGCTCCAAAGTCAGCTGCGCAGCTTGTTTTCCAGGTCTTTACTCAGGTCTGGGAATCTGTGTGCGATAGGAGTGGGAATCCGAAAGCCATTTGCTGGAGACAACTCAGAGTCGTTAGCCTTTGTTTGACAAAGCTGTCGAGCATCAATTATGCAATGAAGAACAATGAACCAAGGCGGAAGTTCTCTATCCAAGCTTTGCAGCCTCAAAACTCTTTGCTGTTCCTGAGCAGCGGCAAGCCTTCTCGCAGAAGTGTCTTCATGTACCTTTGCCGCCTGGGCCAGGGTCATGGGCTCCTGGGCTGCAGGGCTAAACTAATGGTAAACGATTGAGGGTTCTGGGGTTAGGGGCCAAGGATCAGGATGTGGTGATCAGAGTTCCAGGGTTTTCATGGCCAGGATTTGAATGTCAGAACTGGTCAGGGTTCAGGCTGTTAGGTTTGGGGTTAACGGGTCGGTCTGACAGAGCACCAGCGGCGCTCAAAAGACCACACATGGTCAAGCTACGGGTTCTGGATGGGAGCAGCGGCGTTTGCGGCGAGGAGCATCTGCTGCCAGGGAATTTGCGTTCTGCTGTTCCCGCCTTACTGTTGTGATTCCGCGGGAGCGGATAGGGTCCGTTCCATTCTCGATTCAGGATTCATCGATGTCTGCGGCATGCTTGCTTTTGCAAATCAACTGAAACGTGCCTATTCAGCTACAAAGCCACCAATACAGCCCTTGGTATTCTAGAGTTTCAAAATTGCACGGCCCAGCTCTAGATTTTAGAAAACCACTTTGATTATACTGTGCAATCTTGGCATCCGATGCTTGCTGAGCGCAACTTGCTGAGGGGCAGGCGTACAGGGCAAGCAGCTGTGTGGAGCAGTCCCTGCTTGGAAATGCCGGCGCCTTATCTTGCGTGAACTGGCCTTGGACCTGGATATCCAGTGGTTCCCAAAAAACTTCCCACATCCAGTATTTGTTGGAAACTGCAGCGGACAGTGAAGTTGAAGAGTTGAGAAAGGGCAACCAACATGTGTGGAAGCGCCCGTATCGCGCACTAATTTGGCCTGGCAGGCGTGGGCCTTTAGCAAACGCGTTATTCACAACTGTTCGCAAGCATGTGCTGTGGCTGCATCTGCCTTTTTTAATTATGACACATGCGCAGAACATCCTGCAAGTTGTTGGCAAGGCTCGTGCTAAAAGGCATCGTCTCACAACGTGAGTGGACGTCAGATGACCAAGTGGCTGAGGCCTGTGGGGGGCTGAAACTTGAACTTTCAGCTGACATAGCATCTCCCCTACATCACTATGTGCATGGTCTGAAGGAGCACATTCAAGAATGCATCTTCATTGCGCAGAAGCTGCACGCCCAGAATCTGTTCACAAAGGACTGCTTTGAAAAGGAGTTCACTGCGTTGTGCGGCCCCCAGCTTTCACAAACCGTGCTGGAGCTGTCATCCTTCGGTTGGAGCGCGTCTTCCGCAACAAGATTTTCGTCCCAAAACACATCACAGCCAAATCCTTGCAGGGTTCGTTGCTTCGAAGATCTGTTGGCAAGGTACTGGGCCCGCATAGCAGAAGACACTCCGATGATGTTTCCCGTGAGGGGCTCGGTCTCACAGCCGTTTCATGCAAGACGGGAAAAGTCCGGGTAAAGTACTCATTTGGGTTTTGAGGACCGCGCACTTTGCCCGGATGATCGATGCTCCAAGGAGCCCCCAATCGTGGGAGAACCATAGGCCATGCTCAAGCCTTCCCCGTATCTGCACCCCAGAACCGCACCATGACTTGCACGAACTTGCAGGATGGAGAGGCCTCCTATCGACACAAGCATTTGGAGCGAAAGGCGCGATCGCAGGGTTTTATCAGCAATGACAAGATGTCATCGAGCAGTGATGCGCGAGAGGACGACAGCCCTTGCAGTATAACAGGCCTGGCGGGAACAGATCCGTTTGATCGAGGAGCACGAACAGGCGCAGTCCTCAAGCGTAGGGACGCGATGGCCTGTTGAAGGCATGCGTGCTTTTGGAGCCTGAAAACCCATCAGTCCTTGCAGGAGCTGTGCGCCCGTCGTTGCCGAGGCTCAAGCGCAGGTTCTTGACATCAAATTTGTTTCCCATGATACGTAGCTGTGAAGCATGCAACCGCCCAGCTCTGCCTGGCTTGTTCAGTGTTGTTACTGATTTGTATTAGTTCTCAGCGGCCAGAAGCAGTGCGCTTGGAAATTCTGATTCATTTCATGCCTGCAGAGGCTCACGACGCAAGCGGCGCCAAAGGCATCTCCCGACCTCCATGCGCCTGTTTCTAAATCAGAGCTCCTTGGTACGCTATTCTTGCCCTTTCGCATTGGGTGGGCTCATTTGGAACATTAGTTTTCGTTATTTTGCGAAACTCTCGGTGTCATTGCAAACCCTGAGCATAGTTAGCATAGCCTCTTTGCTGCTGATGTCACAAACCAGTGTTCAACAGGAATCCTCAAGAGCCGAGTGCAACGTGAAATTCATGTAGTAACTTGTAACATGTAAAGTTGAGCGGCAAGAAACCACAAGTTGTAAGATTCAAAAGCTCCTAAACTGTCTTAAGCTGTTGTTCGCAGATGCCGGTCAAAGGGAACCAATGCAAGTAGGGAGGGAGCATGTGCAAAAATCGACTCAAAGCTTATGGAGCATTTGGACCCTCTACGCTTGATGGATACTTGGGCTTTCTTATTGCGGGCGCCCTAAGCAAAAGCACCAAGTCATTAAAGCACGGCAGAGTTTGTTTTTGAGTTACTTGCGCAAACAAATCCCCAGCAACAACAGCTATATGAGCATCCCTGAATGAAGGCTTAATTCCTGTGCCATCCCCATCACCCTCATTCCCAACACCACCCGTAAAGTAGCTTGGGCGTTCCCGGATATTTGGAATCCGCGCAAAGACGTCGTTGCAACTTGCTTCAGTGGGAGCGGCCTGCCCATTTTTTGAATGAAGTTGCAGCGCGATTTCACCCAAACTTGATTGAAACCTGTTCCTCTGCAAGGGTTTATGGAAACCCCCCAAATCTTTCATTCAAGCAGACGTGTGAAAGCCATAGCAGCTTTACAAACACTAAAGTCTGAATTAAGTGAGGCCCTGGTAAGTGTTTCCTCGCACCTGCCCTGAGATAGATTCCCAACCGTTTGTTTTGACTAGTTGCTCAGCTTCACCGACGGACCCGTGCCAAATGATACGGGCTGCAGTTCGAGAAAGTTTTTTCGGTCTCGTACAGCTGAACAGACTCATGTAGACTACGTGGGATGTAGGGGTTTTGTGGGTTCCTGACCGTTTACGCTATGCTTTCGTTTCAGGATGTCTTTAGGAGTTTAGGCGCTTGATTCCAGGTTTCCTCTTCACGCATAGTTGACTGCTGGCATCCAGTCTTCTGCGAAAAGTTTGGCATTCCTGAATAACCCCCAGACCTTTCAAGGACATCGCGGCCTTAAACGCTTGGCCCCATCCTCCTTCCGAAGGATGGTGACATCCACAACCCAGTCAATATCTACCTCATTCTGGATCGCTCTAGAGAGCTTCGAATGCCTGGACGGGTGAATCTCACCCACGGCACCTTTGGCGCTGGCTGGGTTTGGAGAACGGCGTTTAGGCTGGCAGGCCAGAATGGGGTTTACAGAAGACATGGTGGTTTGGGTTTGGGGCTTAGACTTTAGAGCCTTGAGGGGCTTAATGATGCCCAAGGTGCCTCAGCTCGGCGGCTCATGGGCAGGCCTATAAGTTTTTGTGGAGATTTTTCGGATCCTCCGGCAGGGAACTGCCTCTCAGAGACCTTGCATAAGTCAACGTAAGCATGAAATCATGGCTCAGTAAAAGCTGTAGCCTGTTCGCGCAACGCTTCTGATGGCCATAAGCCTTTGAGATGTCCTCTTCCATTGCAAGCCACATGGACTTGGGCGCGCACAGAGCAGACTCAACCACGACCCGCCAGCAGCATAACTTTTGTTGCTGATAGAGGCAATGCCAGTTGGCATTAAGATCGTTTGTGAATGCAGTGTGTGCAGTTGCAACAGCCAAGACCTCCTAAAATCATGCAGTAGGGCATGTAGGAGAGAAGAGCAGTGATTCCGGAACGCTGCTAACAGTGATTTTGAAATTCCTCCAAATTGGAACAGCTAAACTTCACTGCTGCCGTCATCTAGCACATCTACGATGACTTGCCAACCATGCCTTCTGAAAGTAAAGCCAGCATCCTGGAGAGTCGCCGGCACTATCAAAGCCACAATCAGCGTCCAACAGTCATACAAACCCTTTATATTTAATAAGGGACACGACGCTGCATAGTTTAATTTAAGTGACCTAGGCATGATAGCAAACTGACTTGCTCCGCTTTATTTCTTCTTGGTCTTCGTGACAATGCTTGACGTCGAATCTGGGTTGCAGGTTGGGTTCCCGGTCATTTTTTATAGGCAATTTAAGCAAAGTTAACAAGCAGTCCTGAAGACAAATCTTGAAGTGTAGGGCCTCAAAATAAGAGTGCTCGCCGTGTTGCTTTTGTTCGCGATTATGGTTGGTGGCTTAGCTGCTTACCAAGATGTTGGCAGCTAAATCTCTTAAGGTTGGGTTGACAACTTATTTTGATACAGTATAGAGACGGCCGCGCCGAACTCCACTGACACAGGCACAAATGCCTAACCGCACTAACCCTTACTCCGTACGTACCTCGAGTGGCTGCACAATAGACCCAAAGTTTGAACCGCATTACTGTCCCTGTGGCAAGCCCTCCCCAAGTGATAACAACATTTTCGCAAGCCCTGCGTGCGCAGGCATCAGTGCGACAGTGTCCAACAGCGCGGCATGCTCTATTTCTGCCTTTGCCATGCCATGCCTCTTTCACTCTCTTTTCGTTGTTGGCAATGAAGCTGCCAAAAACTCCGATCATATCGGCCGTGAAGCTTGCAGAAGTTGCAATGGCCGCAAAGAGCGCCACGTCACGCTTCATTCTACGAGAAAACTCAGGACTGCCTGGGTTGGCCCGGCAGAGAACTTCATGCTGAAGCTGGCAGATTGTGAGCATCCAGAGAAATACAAAGACACTGGCGATGTGGCTTGAGAGTGGGAGCGACCGCCGGATGGTGACCAAGCATCGTTTGCACCCAGCTGGCGCCTTTTGGAGCAAGGCCCGCCAGAGATGGAACCAACGGACCTGTCTTGCGATGACTTGAAATCGCCGGAGCTTGACGGAGCCAGGATAGCTTGAAAAAGTCACGCGCGTGCTCGCTGCATGCTCTGTACGACAATAAGGGGCCCCCCTCTGTGAGACACAGCCCTTGAATGGAAGACTTGGTTTAAGTGCCGGCTGCCTACCACGCCTGCGCCTGCGCGATCTGCAAAGCATCACGGATCTCTCAGGAAGACGCAAAGCCGCATCGCAGAGCAGAAAATTTGAAGGGCTCTCTGGGCAACAATAAATCCTGGGAATAGGCTTGAGGGCTTGACGCGATGACAACGATATTCTCGAAAGACTTCTGATAATCTTGTTGGTTCCATTGGGCTGTGCACCCAAAACTTACCCACAAGAGCTAGGCACATCTAGGCACTTTCAAGAGCATGGGTTTAAGGTTCAATTTTTTAAATTTGGAGAGAGCGATAGCAATCTTGAAATTTCTTATTTTAGAATCCCGATTCTAATATTCGTATAATTTTTCCTACGGCGACTCTATCTTATTATTTAACTTGATATAAATATTAAAATGATATTATTCTGATTTTCTCATATATATAATATATATGATTATATTCTTTAATATATAAATATATATACATATATAGATATATCTAGTGCAAATTATATATATTCTTATACAGAAATATATAAATAAAGATTGTTTTTTCAAAAGGATATAAGAATCTTCAGATTTAAAAATATATAGATTTCATTAATTATTTGCATAGGCTACACGATATTAAATCTCTATATAAAATTTTAATTTCTTTTATCGAATATTAGAATGGATTTATTGCTTGTAGCTAGTATCGGAGTATCTTCTCTATGATTTGTTCGCGATGATATAAATTGATGCGGACGAAAATTTAGATAGGAATTCTAAATTTTACATTTTTATAATTTGATATTTCGAATTTTGAATAAGTATTGATGGTCAGAAATTGAGGATTAGAGGGAATTATAATTTTAAAAAGATGAAATGCATATTAGATTGTTCTTCCGAAAATTTTCTATTTCGAGATATTCTTGAAGCGGCGGGTTTATAGATTGGAATGCAAGGATTTGGAGAGATATTATAAAGTCTGATTATTTTTTTCTTTTACGATTTGATGCGAGTTATTTCTATTCCTATTTTATACCTATCTATATATATAATCTTCTGCGGATTTATGAGGCTCTATCTTCAATTTAATATCCAAATCGTGATATGGCTCTGCTTCCCTGGCGATTATTAGAACTGGGAATTCTGTTCTCTTGCTATTTCATGAAGTCTCGTATAGTAGCTAGTTACCTTGCGGGAGAGTATCATCAGCTCATTCTTTACGATTCTAATATAGCAAGTGATATTCTTGCCAACCGCGAATGATTTTATCGATAAGCAAAAACGGCTAATCTCTAGATTCTGAAAGATTTTAATTTTAATTCTCTATCCGCAGATAACCAAAGACATGATTCGAAATATCGAGAGATTTTTAATTCTTGCGGCCCAAGGTCGCCGACCCGATATTTCCGCTTTATTTATTTCTCTTGGCCTAATTATTGCGCAGCGGATCAGAGGAGCGCATAAATGCTAGTGGGCAGCTGCGAGCAATCTATAAACTCTGAAAATTTTCTATTCTCGGCCCCGGATCTATACGTTCCGCCGACCAGCCGCGCATCGACCCAATAAGAGATGAATCACGCGGAATTTCGCTCTGGTGGGCAAGGCCCGCAATCAGCCAAAGAAGAAGGAAATCTCGGGAGATTTTTTTTTTCGTGCGGCCCAAGGTCTCCGGCCCGTATTTTCCACTTCATTTATCACTCTTGGGCTAGATATTTAGTAGCGGATCCAGCAATCCGCACGTTTACCGCCCTAATTCCGGAAATTCATTTTTTAGCATGACGCTCGATCTCAATAACTAGAAATTCAGATTAATTTTTTAAAATCCTATCTATTGCATCGCCTTGCCATCGATTCATTCCTTGCTCCAACAATTGCCAGCTAAAATTCAGGGCAGCATACCCTCAAAATTCCAGAGGCCTATCTCTTGAGACGCTTAAAGCCAAATATAAAGAATCGTATAAAACCTTCAAGAATTATCAATCTCTCCTAGATTAAATTGAATCTATCAAATTTTGACGATTCTAGTTATATTAGCAAATCATATGCATTGCCTATAAATGCTTATCTTTCCTAGAACGAATACTAAGCTTGATAAATTAGATCATAAATTCAAATTCGTACATCCTTATTAATATGAAAGATAAAAAAATAAAGATACAACATTACAAAAAAAGAAAGAAATTTTATTAAATTAACGTAACCCTCGTAGGAAGCCCCGAGAAAGTATTAATTAAGAGCCGTAATATTATAATATCGAGCGAAATCATATAGAAGTGAAGGATGATCATCGATTTTGTCAACGATAAATATTTTATCAAATCATTAAGTAATCGAATGAGCGAATTAAAAAATTGCAAGCAATATAAAGAGTCAATCCCAGAATCAAGTAGGTAATTTAATAGAAATCAAATGAATCAATAATCAAATTCTGGAAATTCATATGATAAATCTTCCTATTATTTATATCAATCATAGTCAAGAATATATCAATATTTATGATATTCTATCAATATTTATTGATTATTGAATCGCTGCCGAAATCCAGAAATTATCTGTTTTCTAATGATTAAATTATTATCTGCAAGGCAGGCCCAGCGAAGTCTGAAGCAATTCCGGTCGATGCCCAGACCGCTTGCAACCAGAGCCTTGGACCCCAAAATCCACAAAGCCAATCCTCCCTCTTTGTCACTGGCAGAATTTTGCAACTCAAGGAGCTTCCCGGATCAATGTAACTCGGATATCCAACTAGCAGGATATCTTACGTGTGACTTCTGTGATTGTCATAGTGCTTAGCGTTACTCCTCTCATCAGTGCCGATCATCCTCCGCGAAGCCCCAATAAACATCACAGAGCCGTGTGAAGAACGCATCCCCTTTTCAGCGTCCTCATCAGACGTTCTCCAGTTTGAGGGTCAGACTTTGCAGCTGTTGCTGGGAGCCTCCAACTACCAGCAGCTACTAAGCTGCCCTGCCACTACATCGCAGTTAAAATTGAATGCATCCTCTGCAAGCATCGGGTTTCAATTAGAGTTGCACCTTGCTGATCCAACACACCTACCACAACATGAACCCAGAGCCTGTATCACCCAAAGAATGCAATTCGTTTTCAAACTCCTGTATACTCCTGTAGGGCTTGCGGATAGCTGTGTCAGCTTAGCCTGAGCGCCGAGAGTATGCAGAAACCTCAGCTGCCAAAAACTCGTTTCGGCGCGAGACCGCCTTCGAAGCCAATGGCCCCGAGTGATTTTTCATCTCTGCATCAATCTAAACAGCAAAACAGCTCCAGTGTGCCCTTGGGGCTTTGCAGCCGTTGCCGGGAGCTACTAGCTGCCGGCAGCTGCTAACCTGCCTGGCGACGACACCGGCATCAAAATTTAGTGCATTCTCTGGAAACATCGGCAAAAGCTTGGAAGCCTTAGGCCTGAATTCAAGCACGTTGTATCCATAAATTACAGCCACCCACACCGTCAAAAAACTTGAACAAACTTGTGAGCATAAGTTTAAAGTTTTGGATCTTCATCTCAACCAAGGTCCAACATCCAACGCGCCGAGAGAATGCAAAAGGCAGGCTCAGGCATCGCATGTACTGCGCTCAGCCAGAATGGTGCTTGAGAAAAAGGAGCTCGTGGAAAGTTATATGACGACTGTATGCCGTGGGCAATACTCACAAAAAGTTTGCTCCCACTGACCCGCTGTATGAACTGGTCCTTATGGAAACTATACCCCAAACATGTCGCATCTCTTTTGAGAAAGCGGCATACAGTTGCAGAAGAATCTGCTTGACACCATCACATAGCATACCGCTCTTTCCCTAAGTTGAGACGATCATATGAAGAAGTTTCTGAACCCTTGGCGTGAGTGAGGACACTCAAACAGAGACTTTTTGATAAGCCTCCACAAGACTGCTGGCTGCATCTTCTGCTACTTTTCCCACCCCAATCCTGAATTTCATCAAGACGGTGATTCCTAGGCTAATATGAAGGTTATTTCTTAAAGTCTATTTAGTATGATACGAATTCTGAGCAACTACCCGGTGTCAAGTCTACTCCAGCTCATGGAATTGAAAACATGGTAATGCGTTTAGGATGCAGGTCTTCGCCAAGACCTCTGTCTTCCAGTGTTTAGAGATTTATAAGCAGGGCTTTTTTTTGGAGTGCCGCAGTTAGAGAGGGTGTCCTCAAACTAGGGTAACCTCAATGGACTCTCAGGATCCTATAGGGGCTAAGTGAGTCCCCCATCAAGAAGACTTTACGGCTATTTTTGAGATTCCAACATGGCAGGCAAGCCTAAAACGGGACCTCACCGGTGGGCCGGACAAGTAGTTCATGATTGAATCTTGGTGGCGTGGAGCTTTCACGCTGATGAGATCCTTGTTGAAATTCCTACAGCGCGTATGGTAACCAAACTTTAAGAAGTGCCGATTTGATGTGGTAAGAAAGTCCATTCCTGAAAGCACAGACTCCGGGATCAAGGCCTAACTGCGACTGAGCCAATGATCAAAGGAGCATGCTCTGCCCCGGCCGGTGCATGAATTGCTGCAAAAAGCCCCACAGTGACGAGCCACAATGGGATTCATGCTGGCGAAGAAACATTAATCCCATTCGTCGTACTTTTGCGGATGTAGTAACGCTTGCGGCAAACATTTTGGCGATACCTATAATCACGATTCAAAGTCACTTCCATGCAACACTGTGGGGCTGGCGGTCGTGCTTCAAGCTGCAGACGCACTGACACAGCTGGATCAGCCACTCCGCGTACCAGTGCATTCCCAAGCGAGGGGCATA